TTTTCATATCTTCACAGGGCACAATAACCCTTGGTTGCATATAAGGCATAATAATAACCCCTATTTTATTTTTTCATGCCTTCACAGGGCCCAATAACCCCTGATTGCATATAGGACACAATAACCCCTATTTTATTTTTCATGTCTTCACAGGGCACAATAACCCCTGGTTGCATATAGGGCACAATAGCCCTTATTTTTATTTTTCATGTCTTCACAGGGCACAATAACCCCTATTTTATTTTTCATGTCTTCACAGGATACAATGATCCCTGATTGCATATAGGGCACAATAACCCCTATTTTGTTTTCATGTTTTCACAGGGCACAATAACCCCTGGTTGCATATAGGGCACAATAACCCCTATTTTGTTTTCATGTTTTCACAGGGCACAATCCCTATTTTATTTTTTTCGTGTCTTTATAGGGCACAATAACCCCTATTTTTATTTCATGTTTTCACAGGGCACAATAACCCCTGGTTGCATATAGGGCACAATAACCCCTATTTTGTTTTCATGTTTTCACAGGGCACAATAACCCCTGGTTGCATATAGGGCACAATAACCCCTATTTTGTTTTCATGTTTTCACAGGGCACAATAACCCCTGGTTGCATATAGGGCACAATAACCCCTATTTTGTTTTCATGTTTTCACAGGGCACAATAACCCCTGGTTGCATATAGGGCACAATAACCCCTATTTTGTTTTCATGTTTTCACAGGGCACAATAACCCCTGGTTGCATATAGGGCACAATAACCCCTATTTTGTTTTCATGTTTTCACAGGGCACAATAACCCCTGGTTGCATATAGGGCACAATAACCCCTATTTTGTTTTCATGTTTTCACAGGGCACAATAACCCCTGGTTGCATATAGGGCACAATAACCCCTACTTTATTTTTATGTCTTCATAGGGTAGAATAACCCCTGTTGCATATAGGGCAGAATAACCCGTATTTTATTTTTTCATGTCTTCACAAGGTACAATAATCCCTGGTTGCGTGTAGGGCACAATAACTCCTATCTTATTTTTTATGACTTCACAGGGCATAATAACCTCTGGTTATATTGGGCACAAATCTCCCTTTATTTTATTTTATAAAAGTATATGCCTAGTAGCTTTCATCAATAACTCACAAAAATTTTCCTAGTGCATACTGGGGCAAAATTTTTGTTTCTTTTGTTTTATGGCGTGCAGGTTTCTACATAGTATACCAATTTAAAGTTCAAGAATAAAATCTTCGTTTTGGTTAGAGAAACGAAGAATGTCAGATGTCAATGACATTTAGAGTCGCTTTCAACCCATGTAACGGCTCAACATATCATGAATCATCTTCTCAAGAAAACAA